GCAGAGGCTGCTGGGCCTCGGTTGTCAGCTGCTTGCGTTTCATTTCACGTGGGCTCTGCGTGTGGGTTCCAGGTGGGCGGAGGCGGGGGGCCAGCGGGTGAGCGGGAACAGGTGCGCACGCAGGGGCCTGTGGCTCTCACACCTGGACTCTCACCCTCCCTCACGGGGGCAGGTACTTAAGTCAGGAATATTCTGGAAACCTGATCTGTGGCCACTGCTGTGGCCGCCGGGGGTTAGGGATCGAGCTCCTGCGCCCGTTGTTGGAATGTGTGCCCAGGGTCGGGACTCGGGTCAGTTCGGTGGCCTCTGCCTGCCCTTGGGGTGCAGTGGGTGTTGGCTCACGACCCTCCCTCCGCCCGCAGTCCCGCCAGGCTTAGCAGCTCTGAGGTGGGAACCAGAAACCCACATCTTCTGGGGCTTCGGTCCCTTCTCAGACTCGCTTTGGGCTGCTACGGGGGGACCCTCATCTTTTTGTTTTTAATGTTTTTATTGATTTCAGAGAGGAAGGGGGAGGGAGGGAGAGAGAGAGAGAGAGAGAGAGAGAGAGAGAGAGAGAGAAACATCCATGATGAGAATCATGGATCGGCTGCCTCCTGCACACTCCACACTGGGGATCGAGCCCGCAACCCGGGCATGTGCCCTGACCGGGAATCGAACCATGACCTGGTTCATAGGTTGATGCTCAACCCCTGAGCCGCTGGGCTGGGCGGGACCCTCACCTTCAGGAGTCTGATCAAGGGGCACCTGCCCTTCATGAGGTGGCTCATGCGGGTCCTGAGGCCCAGGCCGGCGGCAGCGCCCGGCTGGATGGGGGAGTCGGGGCCCGCAGTGCCCTACGCTCCTACGGGGAGGCTGTTTCCTGGGAGGGACGCTGAGATGGGCACCTGGGGCAGAGCATACCCAGGACAGCGGAGGGCAGAGGGTGGGAAAGGGCCTCGGGTCTTCAGCCCCATCCAAGTGAAGAGCACCCGCCGGCGCCCGGGGACCGGGCTGTGCGCTGGGTTCCAGCCCCGCTGTGCCCCTCTCTGGGCCTCAGTTTCCCATCTGTGACAATGGGAATAATGCCCCCCACCTATTTCATAGGCTGGCTGTGAAGTTTCAGTTACCTGAATCCATTTGATGCCCATGTCTGCCCTCCTTCCCTGCCTCTGAGTGTCTAACCTGGGTCCTGTCACCCCTTCACTCCTAGACTCACCTCAAGGAATATTGGAATAACCCAGAGCTGGACGAAGGGGAGCAGTTTCTGCGGGATTATATCCTCAACAAACGTTATGAGGAAGAGGGAGATGAGGAGGAGGAGGAGGAAGAGGAGGAGGAGGAAGGGTGAGCAGCCATGTTCTCACCAGGGGCCTGGAGCCAATGCTGGCTGTAAAGCAAAGGGCATTGGTGTTTACTTTTGCACACACATCGTAGCAGAGTTAGTCATTCGAGGAAGAGCCATGGAGTGTGGGCTCTGCGGCCAGGGTGGTGTTGGGGGGAGTCAGAGGGGGGAGGGGGGAGGCCCTGTACAACAATAACCAGCGCCGAGTAAGGGAACGGAATACCGCGTTAGGATGCGTGGGTGCGGGTGCCAGGCGTTGCGTCCTCACCCCCTTCACCCAGGGGGAGGCTAGGTGCTTGGGAGAGGAGACCTGCCAGGTCCCAGGTGGACGGGCACTGCTGGCCCATGACCCTGGGTTGTCTGAGCCCTCGGCTCCCCCAGAGTCTGCGGGGCCGGGCTGCTCACCCAAGTCCCTGGGCCGAGGACACTGCCTGTTCTCTTCTCCCCTGACCCTCCCCCTGCCCAGCCTTCTCCTCCTCTTCCCTAAACGTCCTGTTCCTATCGATCCCCCGGTAACTGGAGATGACGGGACTCGGGCCGAGAATAGGAACCGCAGGCGGGGAGACCTGGCTGGGGCCTGTGTGTGTGTGCGTGTGTGTTCGTGTGTGCGTGTGTGTGTGTGTGTGTTCGTGTGTGCGTGTGTGTGTACACGTGTGAGCCCAGCCCTCGCCTCACCCGACATGTGAGCACAGACCACACACAGCTGCCCGAGTTAACATTGAGGTCAGAATCCCCGCTTCTCACACTTCTAGGGACCCCTCCCCAGTCCTGGCTCCGAGGCCTCTTGGTAATGCGTCGACAGCCCCAGGTGTTGGTGGCAGAGAAGCCGAGTTTGAATTCAGATTCTTTCATTTGCCAGTTTATGGGTCAGAGGGGGGAGGGGGGAGGCCCTGTACAACAATAACCAGCGCCGAGTAAGGGAACGGAATACCGCGTTAGGATGCGTGGGTGCGGGTGCCAGGCGTTGCGTCCTCACCCCCTTCACCCAGGGGGAGGCTAGGTGCTTGGGAGAGGAGACCTGCCAGGTCCCAGGTGGACGGGCACTGCTGGCCCATGACCCTGGGTTGTCTGAGCCCTCGGCTCCCCCAGAGTCTGCGGGGCCGGGCTGCTCACCCAAGTCCCTGGGCCGAGGACACTGCCTGTTCTCTTCTCCCCTGACCCTCCCCCTGCCCAGCCTTCTCCTCCTCTTCCCTAAACGTCCTGTTCCTATCGATCCCCCGGTAACTGGAGATGACGGGACTCGGGCCGAGAATAGGAACCGCAGGCGGGGAGACCTGGCTGGGGCGTGTGTGTGTGTGTGTGTGTGTGTGTGTGCGCGAGTGTGTGTGTGTGTGTGTGTACACGTGTGAGCACAGCCCCGGCCTCACCCGACATGTGAGCACAGTCCGCACGCAGCTGCCCGAGTTAACATTGAGGTCAGAATCCCTGCTTCTCACACTTCTAGGGACCCCTCGCCAGTCCTGGCTCCGAGGCCTCTTGGTAATGCGTCGACAGCCCCAGGTGTTGGTGGCAGAGAAGCCGAGTTTGAATTCAGATTCTTTCATTTGCCAGTTTACAGCCCTGAGCAGGCCCGTCAGGGTCCCAGCCTGTCTCCCCACCTGCGAGTGGGCCGACCTCAGCGGGGACTCGCAGGTGAGCTCAGGCCCGGCGCACAGCAGGCGCTCGGTGATCGTGAGAAGTCAGTCCCGAGTCCCTGGAACACAACCCCATTCCCGGTGCCTCACCCTCAGGGGCCAATTGAATCCCTGCTCTCCAC